ACCCGCATGGTGTGGTGGTGAACGCGTTACTCCCCGGAAAGGATAATAGCGCGTTCGTTCCCCACCATAGACACCTGCGGTCCAGAGTTTTGCAAATATCTCAGCAACGTTGTGGTTGTATTTCGCTTAGTAACCTGCCATGAAAATTATAGAAGGCAGAAAACAAAACGTTAAACATTATAACTACTATAATGGTGAGATATTTGCAAAACTCCGGACCGCAGACGTCTGGGGTGGAGAACGAACGAGCTATTGTCCTTTCCGGGGAGATTCCTTGCCTCGGAAAGGACAATAGCGCCTTCGGTCCCTACCGCAGATACCTGCTGTCTGAAGTGTTTTTATTTGGTTCTACTATGAAGTATACAGTATACGCGAATTCCACCTTCTATAACATTAAAATCATGTCTACATAATTCCAGCGGTGATAGAGCAACAAAAGAAACGGTCCAACGCTTGACGGCGGAGAATGAAGATCTGACACGAAAATTTCTTGAGGCAGAGGACGAGCACCGGCGTACGGTATGAAACCATGAAGGGAGGTAGTCAAACATCCCACAAGTGGTTTTGTTCAGAAAAAGAGAAGCGAACGTATGAACTCTAGTTTCTTCAAGGGTTTTGACTACTTTCTTCCTACTAGATCATTTCTTTCGATTCATAGTGACATTACCTGAGTTCACTTATAAATAATTCGCACAAGGAAATTATTCTCGTGAAATTCTAAAAAAGACGTCTTCTTTTCCATGAACCACTATCCATTTTAGGTGTCCGATCTCATGGCAATGCAAGAGAATCAGAATCAGTTCGTAGATATTCTTACTAAAAAAGCCGAGCTGTTTAAACAAGAGAAGAGCGAATGGTCCGTGGAGAGAAAAAGGTCCTACCGATCAAATCACCTTCTAAAACCGCTACTTCCATTAAATACCCGTCCTTTTTTCTATCCCTTTCCAGTGGCTTTTATGAAGCGCGTAGTTGTTCGACTTTCAGACTTATCGAAAAAATTGAAATACTGAGGAAGGAAGGACATAAAGTAGAAGTTCTTGCCGAAGGTGAACGAACGGCCATGAAATCTGAAATCGAAAAGCTAAACAATGAGGTAAAACATTTTCTTTTTATTCTAAATAAAATCCTACTCAATCCTACTCAATGGCTGATAGCCCTCTCATCTAAGCTAGAGCGTGTTTCTTGGTGTCGAGCTGCTATGTTTACTAGGAATCTCATCTCCAATAAGTTACTCAAGCTTATAAGCACAAGTTTTCATTTGAAAACCCAGCCGAAAGTAATTCTCCGCCAATCATTGCCGCAATCATAGGAGAAAATTCCACTCTCAAAACGATGAACCATCCCTCGATCCATGAGACTAGGTGGATATCTAAGCAGACACTTGTTTAGTCCCTTTAGTTGTTTTACTTACTATTAATAACGTAGTCTTGCCTTAATGATTTTATTTTCAATCAGTTACTTTGCATGAGTAAGATTTTGAAAGAAAGAAAGAAAAAGAAAAATGGTAAGAAAAATGGTTTTCAGATTGTGGAAATGACGAGCAGGCTAGAACGTCAAAGCGAAATTTCGGACACGCTCACCAAGAAGCTGAAGCAGATTGAGCAAGACAAGCAAGAGTGGATGATAGAAGGAGAAAGGTGATCGTTCCGTTTTTCTCCTTTTGCCTTTTTATTGCTATTAAAACGCTCGAAATTCTTTTGCTTAGAGAGGATCACTATACCGTAACGTTCAGCTTTTGTTCAGAATCAACTACACAGATTTTTAGTCACGATGAGAAACATCTACGCTTCAATAGTTGGGTGGCGCGTCCTCACAAAGAATTGTGCGGGTCAAAGCCCAATTTCCACCTGATTCATAATTTTCTGGTCATGTAAGATTTTCTCTTACTTGAGCCATAAGATTGCTATGCTAGGCCTTTTTCAAGATGTCACAACTAGCTGTCGTTGACGTTTGTGGTTCACGAGAGATTTCCAACCTTCGACCGGGTTGTTAGCAGGACTGCGATGTTTCTCGGTACTGGGTTGCTCGTCGAACCTCGCGTTCGACACCCAACAACCACTTTGAGCCATGATGTGGATGTAATTGACGAAGTTTTGGTTCAGGCTTGCAGTTGGAAAAGAGCAATATTGATGAGGATAGCTTAAAGTTAATGGAAATCAATGAACTTGAGTTAAAAAGGTTGACAAATAAAGTAACTAGAATGTGAAAGAGCTTATCCTTGATTTTTCAATGAATCCTAAACCGTCGATTGCAGGAAACCCTGCTTTCAGTCGTGGTGTTTGCTACTCAAGCTTTTCTCTCCAACATTTGTCTGTTGTTTGTTAGAAAATTAAGATTCATTACGGTATTACTTCAGCTTGAGAGGAAATCTTGCGACATTGGGCGAAAAACTGTCCACCAGTAATGCTGAAATTGAAAAACAGAGGACGAAGAACGAATCTCGTATCGAAGAACTCAGTAATGAGGTTTATTTGATTCGAATATTCGATTGTATTCGATTTCTTATTAACGAAGGAAAAATTTGAATTGTCGTTCTTTCTTTTTTCTAGCGATCACGATAAATGAAAAACCGTCGGAACTACATTTCCATATGTTATGGGTTCCTAAAATCACTGTTCACTGCGGTTTTCAATCAGCTCTTGATTTTTTCGACTTTTCTGTTCATTTCGAAGCTTTGATTTGTATGTAATATCCTAATTATATTACTTTTTAGGTCCTTTCTTTTCAAGCCTAACACACTTTATTGTAATGTTCCGTATTTTCAAGCTTCCTGTCCTTTAAGTTCGTTAACTAAGAGGCTCTTAACAAAACGGTACCCCAGGGTGGTGAAATTTGCTTGCTTCGAAGAAGCTTAAATATAAAAGGAGTTCTATGTAGTTCCACCACAGAATTGAGGTTCGTATTGAGGAAAATCGGACAAAATTTTCTAAAATTTAAAAAAAACTGCAAGAAGTACTGTTAGATTTTCGTATTCGGTCGGTTTTTAGAAGAATCAGCTCTCTGTTCAATTGCGGACAGCCGCCGACTTAATCACTGCCCTCCAGGCGAAGGTCGGCTGCCTGGAACAGTCCATGGTGTGCTTTTAAACCGACCTGTACATCTTATAGAGCAGAATTTTTTATGAGTGTTTTTTTTTGCTTAATAAATAGGTTTTATGGTATTTTCCATTGATTTTCCTGACATTTTTTTTCCGTTTTATAATGAGTTGCAACAAAGTCATGTGGAGAAGCTCGAGAAAAATCGAAACGAATTCTCAGAGTGCCATAAACGAGAGCTCGCCGCCATCCAGGAGCAGCTTCGTCTGGTATGTAAGTGATTTTGTTTTAAGTCATAATCTTAGGAGCAAGCTAACGAGAATTTAAATTTTAACACCATTAAAGCAATGGATGGGAAAATTCGTAACAGCCAGTTGATCTTTGACCAATTTTGGTAACCAGATGGCAGCACGTATGGACTTTATTAGTCTGGGCGTAGGACCAAATCAGTGCAGAAGAAATCGTGCTTAGTGGTTTTTTTATCCTAATCAGTGTTGTTAGAAAATAACGGATGAAGGCGTCCACGGTTGATCAATCCCTAAGAGAACCGCCATGAATCCTCTCACAAAGCATGAATGGCTTGGTGAGCCTGGACGGCAGAATCGAACTGAAGATCAATCCAATGTGTATTGGAGGACACTTCTAACCATTACGCTACACGTTCTTCTTCGTTCATCAGATACTGTCTTAATATTAAACAACTTGAGAATCACTGATTTAGAAAAGTGACAGTGGAAGTGGTAAGAAGAATGACATGCTAATTCACTAGCCATTATCGTTATGATAAAGATAATCTACTAAGAAAAATGCCCAATGTTGCAAAAAAAATCCCTTTCACTGTTCCTAAGATCGACTTTCTATTAACCTCGTCATTGAATTATAAATCTGTTGTTCTCCTTTTTACAGCAATCGCGAGGTTGTTTTTTAGCACACGTTTACTTCCTCACAAATATAACACATACAACACAACGGTAGCTGACGTTTCGGCAGTACCGTCTTTTGCAGAGCCTGGAAGGGCACACTAATATGTAATTTACTAGGTCAAACACCTCAGCAATGCAAACGGAAAGTTGAAAATCTGAACAATAATTACACGATCACCGGCTTTTCGAAAAATCTTCTTCCTCTTGGGCCTCTCCTCCTTGGTGGAAGACAGATAAAAAACGGTGGATTTTTCGAGAAGCCAGTGATCGTGCAATTATTGTTCGGATTTTCATCTTTCCGTTTGTATTGCTGAGGTGTTTGACCTAGTAAATTACATGTTAGTGTACCCTTCCAGGCTCTGCAAAAGACGATACTGCCGAAACGTCAGCTACCGTTGTGTTGCATGTGTTATATTTGTGAGGAAGTAAACGTGTGCTGAAAAACAGCCTCGCGATTGCTGTAAAAAGGAGAACAACAGATTTATAACCCCTTTCACTCCACGAATGCCCGTGAAATTCTTTCTCTGTGTGTTTTGCGTCTATTTGGTCGTCTGTACGTCTTTCTTTCCACCTAAATATCTGCATGTCTCTACCTCTATTTGTCTGCCTCTCATTTACCTGTAGCTCTCTGCTACCTTCAGCTTTGAATTTACCACTTAGGAATTTCTGCAGAAGTGCAGTGGTATGTTATTAACATGAAGACTGTAGCTCGACAACTAACAGTTCTAGATAGTACTATTACGGTCGCACTAGAGGAATAGGTTCGAGTAATTGTTCGGTGTATTCAAATTTCTACGCTGCAGAAAGAAGATGACTTTCGTAGTGCTATGGACAAGGTCCATGTACTAACCGAAGAGAAGGCCATCACTGATTCGGAACTTGCGAATCTACAAGAAATGCTAGAGCAGAGGCAGAATGAGGTGCGTAGTTTTATATTCAGATGGTCTAATTCCTTTAGTTCGTTTTTAGTCCTTGCAATAGCATGAGATGAGGAAGAAAGTTGGAAATCATATGGTCGTTTTTCCTTCACTGTTAGTGAGCTCTTCTTCAGCATAATCTTATAGTTGGCTTCATTACGTGTCGCAGAGGCGAATACTACGGCGCTCTACAATGAAGCCTTGAACAAAATGTACGTTGCTTTATCCTACAGTTTCACGCAATTTTAAAAAAACAATAAAGAAAAATTGCGACGACGTAATTATGCTAATGTCAACTACAGCTTCAACACTTTTGAACCCTGAAAAATTACAATACACCAACTTTTTTTCAAAAGGGGACCCAGAGAGAAATTTGTGAGTAGAACCTGTCTTCTCGAGTTTCCATGGGAACACAAGCAAAACTGGACGAGGCGTTAGACATACTCATTAGAGCCTCTTTGTATTCGTTCACTACAGGAGACTTGTAGTGGCTAATGAACACTTAGTTATTATGAATATGTTACGTCGAGAACGGCTCAATTCCCTAGGAATATGTTATGCCGCAGAAGTTTTTCATTTATTTCTTTTTCTAGCTCGGTGCTGGAAGAAAAGTTGGAAAGACGAGAACGTAGTCTGACCGAAAGGACCATGATGTCACCATTGCCAGAAAAACTGAAACAGACAGTAGTACTTGACAGCAAGGTGACTGCTCTGATTCCGTGTCATTTTTTATTAAAATGCTATGTTTTCCTACCTTTGCGTATGTTCTATTTTTCCATTTTTTTCTTTCTTTCCATTCTTTCCGAAAGAGAGTGAATTCTCGATCGAACAAGGCCATACATGGGAGTTGATGAAAAATGTCGCGCTTCATGGGAAGTAAAACCTTTAAAATGGAGATTCATTTCTTCTTCATCTGCAGCTTCCTCGACGTGCTCCCGATTATTGAAGGAACAAAAATTGCATTCGGCCAAAATCTCTCACCAACATCAATCCCTTCAAAGAAGATGTGATGACATTCAGCTCTGAATGTCTACCAACTGTTATACGAACACAAAGAAAGTGTCTTCATGATGGTCTTGATGTCTCAGTTCATAGAAAAAGATATGAGAAAAACGTGCAACACAGTAAAAGTTAACAATTTCGTGGAACTGCAGCGGCTTCAAATTGAGGTAGAAGCGTCTACGATAGGAAGCTGCTGTAGGCACACTTTTTAAATCGTTTGATAGCCAAAGTTGTATCCTTCAAACCATCATCACATCTCTATAGTGAAAGGATGGCTATACTACGATGGAGACGATACTCATGAACTTTTCTTCTTCCCGGAAACATGGATGGCGCTTAATTCGCGTGCGAAGACGGATGTGTTCCGTTATTCTATTATGTCTACATATATCAAGTCTTCACCACGAGTCCTTTATCGGTAAACTCTACTTGGACAGAAGTATGTGATACTGGGTACTCAAAAGGGCGCCATTTCGCAAACTATGGCTACGGTGATTGTTTTTTACGGATCAAAGACACGTTTACATGAAAGTGCATGAAAGTAAGGTTATGAAACTTCATAAACGTAAAGGTCTACTTGGACAGTGTGAAAGTTTTAAGTTATTTGTTGTAATAGAATTCCCAGGATAAAATGATTTCAGCGAATCCTTAATTCTTGATCAGTCGAAGCTACTATGACACTAGTCATTGGTCCCATTAAAGTAGGAATTTTAGAAGAATGGCAGCTTTCTTTTGTGAATAGGTGTTTACGGGCGTGTTAAAGTATGTATGCAAACACATTTCTGTAATTTTAGGAAGATGAAGACATGATCAATACGCCAATACCATCCTCAAGTCGACCGCAGAGTTTCAACAGTGCGTTTCAATATTCGTCTTCTAGCGTTCGAAAATCACGTAAACCGGAATGGTAAGGTATTATTGCATATTCATGAAAGCCTGTCGACGTCTTTGTCAACTTCTCAGATTTCCGTTCTAGTCTGTATCAGTCTGCTGTCCTCACTAGTAGAAAACTTTTGCAAAGAACTCGTTTACAGTAGTCGAGAGGATTACGTTGAAGAAGAGACGACGTGGTGCAAGGACAGCTACGATACCACTGGCGATATGTTGCCCAAGGTCCGTCGAAAAATGAAAAACTTATGTGGAAGTATAACCTGTATCGGAGTGAATAAGACGCAGTGGTCAGAAGCTTTCTGCAGCATACGTAGGGAATTCGATCCTGTGCTCGGGGCAGAGCACTCTGCTCATCAAAGTCAGGAAATTGGTAGCCAGACTTATCTGGAAGGGAAAATTGATCTCTAGAACCCTCATAGAGGACCGTATACCTTAAATTAGTCAATTAATGTGAAATACAACTAAGATGATGCTGAGATATTTGCAAAACTCCAGACCGCAGGTGTCTGCGGTGGGGAACGAACGCACTATTGTCCTAACCTTTTTATTTACTGCCTACAATAAGTTTTGCAAATATCTCAGCATCATCTTAGTTGTATCTCACGTGATACCCTGCCGTTAAAAGTTATTAGTAGGTAGTAAAGAAAAAGCTTATGAAAGTCATTTAATGCTTTTAACATGTATAATTCATACGTCGCTCCTTCTATTACAAGTGGTAAAATGACCGCTGTGATTTGCAATGTATTGTGAGCTCTAAATCTTTGGACGAATCCAGGATTGCTCAACATTTCTGAACACATCAACCACAAATGACAGTGCGAGTAGAAACGATAATGAGTACTGTGAATTTTGTTCAGGTCTGATGTTTTTGGAGTTTTTTTCATGGCGGAGGTTTTCTCGTGACAGACGTAAAACAAGTGATTTCAGTTTCTGGTCATGACACCTTCAGTTGTTCAACATTTCACCTGCAACAGAAAACTCTCTCACAAACTCGTCGTACATAAACTTCGATGTTAATAACTTCAGTTCTTCCCCGTATATTCTGGCTTGATCCCTGTAGCCCTGGCTTCAATGAAATGACGTAGTATTCGGAATCTACAATGCAACACTAGGGCTGCCTTGTTTATGATTACAACCCCTAGAATGCCGTCATCATAAATTCCTTTTCGTCCGAAAATAGATCTGTTTCCATTCCAACTGTTGTGAGCTGTACATAACCTGCAGTTGTTTCTATCATTTAAACATTAAGATTTTTACTTTAATATTTTACTCGTCTAGAAGAATAAGAAGTTGAAAATTACAACATGGATGCCTATTCTTATTTGAGTACTGAGAAGTTTTATTACGGTAATAATCGTCGCAAAAAAAAAGTCTTGCAATGTATGGAATAAATACGATACAGAAGGTAAAGCGATCCTGAATTTGAATTTGAATGAGGCCATTGAAACTTCCAGAGTTCCAATGAAATTTTCCGAATGTGCCTCGATTTCAATGCACGTTTGTCAGATAACAATCTAGCAATTCACCTTTAACCCATTCAGCACTGGAGCAGGTTTTCGTGGCTGGCTCGGTGGAATACGAACAATTTTTCATTGAGTACAGACTTCCTGTTTTTTTTTTATCAATGGGAAATCCTTTCTCAATAACTGGGGTGTCTAATGAGAGTCGGACTTGGCAGAGTGGTAAATGAGGCTTTGGTCTAGCGTTGTATGAGCACTAGTGGTATGCATGATGCTAAATACTATGGTCCTATTGTAAATGCAGTGCTGCCGGCATATGATAGTATTTTGTAGTTTATGTTGAGTCTGTTTCGGTATTTTTATATCTACATATTTTATACAGTAACCATAGTGTTTTAAATGAAGTAACAATAAATTGTTAGTCAAATTACCTCTCGATGAACTTTTTCGAGGATGGATTTTTTGTAATCATTAAGTATAGAGGGTATTGTTTCTGTTCCCACCTCTCCTATTTCTACCTCATTTCGACTAGCTATCGAACGAATATACATAGCGCGGTAAAAAGAACACTGGAATCCACTAAGCCGAATATGGGCACCATAGCGTCCACATGGTCGTTTGATCCAAATCGCTAGAGACACTTTAGAGTCCATATGTTCCTACACCCTACTGACCAACAAATTTATTCGTTTTCAATTACTGAATTGTTGTTACTGCGTGCATCTCTTCAGTGTTATGCACTTTGTGTTTTCACTCTGGTTATAACTGAAATTGCTTAGGAGAACTTTGTTGAAATCGCTGATTGTCAACTGTTAGCTAGCTGATTCCAGTCCGTTTTCTCTTTATATCTGCCTGTCTACGGGTGACCTAGTGACTAAGGAAGCAGATGTACGTGTTGAAACAATTCTCCACTTTCGATCGCCATTTAAAACGCTGCACGGTAGAGTATCCTTCCACTTCATTAACATATGGCCCAACGAAGAGTAGCCGGTTCCGGTAATAAAATGACCACGCAGAATTGCTGATTTTCGGCAGATGTTTTCTTTCACTAATTATTCCAATAAACTTCAACGAAATCGTGTACTCGCTCTTTTCTTTTCGAATGAAATTTCTTGTCCTTTGACCAGCAAACTGCTCTGCTATTCACCAGTGATGTCGCTCCCCGTTGTGCGATCGACGTGTGAACAGCTTTCGATCGATATGCATTCGTTCAACATGCCAGTCCATGTCTCTCTGTTTCTCTTGTTCATATATCCTATACACTCTGTATCCCTTCTTGGGTTACGGTTTTGTCTTTTTCTAACTTAATAACAAGGATATGGTAGAATTCTCTCCTTGCATTTCCATTAATGAACTAGAATGTTTCGGATTCTGACCACGCAAATAAAACGAAGTAACGTCTTTATGTTATTTCTCTTTATTTCTTATTTTATATGAGCCATTTTCACGTCTACTGTGCGGATTCGATTCCAGTACTTCTCACATTCGATTCGTTTCCTCGCATCCATTGTTCATGAGTTCTTCGAACTTTTGGGTGTGGCTTCGGTTGCTGCTTGAGGATTTTCATTTCATCTTAAATGTCGTAGAATGCTGGTCGAGCAATTCTTCCTGGAGTCCTGAGATAGTCGGGCTGGAACGTTCCCAATAAGATTGCAGAGAGTGATTTTTTCACGACAAGTCCGGTAGCAATTTACGGACCCTGGAGGGATGGGGAGCTTGGTTAGCCCAGTGCGGAATCGAACTAGCACCATGCTCGTAATGAGGGGCACCAGTACCTCTGTGCTATCCGCCTCTTTTATGTTACTAAATAATTAAATCACTGTTGATGCGAAATCAGTTGCTGCACATCTAATGCACAACAAAACATAAGATTTTCATTGTGGAATGTGGTAGATAAACTTGCACGACACTAATCCTTCGTGTTTGAATTATTCTTTTAAGAACCAGCGTAGATTAAACTATTTCATGCAAGTAGCTTGAAAAAATAGTTTAATTTAGTCGGTGCTTCAGGATGCTTCGTCCTATCACATCATCCGCCGTCAGTTAGTGGGATGTGTAGTGTTCCAGCAGCTAGTCGACTAATCTCAAGAAACCTTACCGCCGTAGGAATTACTACCGTCCTAGAAAAGTCGTAGTTGAAAGTGAATGAACTTTTTATCACAACAGTGGGAGATTGCCTTCGTTGACGAAATCTACCGCACCTGAGACCCATCACATCTATGGAGGATGGTTAGACGATACAGAGAAGCGTAAGAAGTGCTAGAACCCGTACGATGCGTGATCATGGGCTTTCGAAATATCTCAGTGATTTACATAAGTGCTACTCAGCAATTGTCTTCCATTGTGATACGTACGTAAGAATAAAATTAAGCTTAAAGCATGCACAGATTGCGTAATACCATTTGACAAGTTTGCATGATGTGCAATAAATATGATTTTATCACTGCACCACACAAAGCGAACCAAGAATGGCAATGAGTTATAGTAATAAAAGGCTTCTTACCTTCATCTATCCTTTAAACACTCCTTGAAAAGAAGATATTCATTCGTCAGTATGTTGATCATCTTATTGCTCCTGGCGTGTGAAAAGGCGAATGGGTTCTGTGGAGTCAGAAGTGAGCACGAAAATGGAACAATGTTCACAATCGCGTCACCTGGATGTCAATGTGCATTCGTGTGACGAATGTGATGGCAATATTTGGTTATGAAAAAGCGCAAAGTATAACCGTGCAAATACATCAATGAACCTACGCCCGGTTTTTTTGCCAGTATTTGTCATGGAAGGGAAGGTGGATTCGATGTGAAAGCGGTAGAACATCTGCAAAGGGATGTCTCGCGCCCAGCATATGAAGAAGCTGAGCCGAGAGCGATTCACGGAAGATTGAAGGCGTAAAAATATTTAGTTGAATGATTAATGTTCTCAGCAAATCTTTGGAGAAGTCGACTATCAATGGATACGGCTTTACCACATTTTTTGTTTCACCGCATTATCTACTGATGGTGAGAGGATATTCGACTGCATGAAACTGCAACGTTGAGGGGTTGGAAATCCTAAATTTTTGCATTAAAGTGATGCCGTGGTAATTGTCTTGTATAGAGGAAGCTGAGGAAATAAAATTGTTTGAGAACTTCAAGAAAGGTGTGTACGGGAACAATCTGCTTAGGATGACAACTCCATCTCGTAATTAACGTTGTTAGATTCATTCTGGAGTAGAGTTTGATCTGGCTAACCTCGGGACTCCAAGGACCCACAATGGCTAGACGAGCAAAACTCCGATAAAATGGATATTATGCTGAGGCCCGCACAACCAGTGAGGACGGGCCATCCAAGTGTCCAAGTATCCAAGATTCATTCGGATGGTCCCCTTCTGATGAAATCGTTCGTTCACGAAGGTTAGAACGGCACAATTAGCATTTAAACGTTGGTCAGGTGCTTTTGGCATGTTTTTTTCCGTAAAAGTAAACTATAAGCAGTCCAAAAATGTTTGCGGTGATATGTTAATTTGACACAAACACGAATGAAACGATCGTTATCGTTTTATTAATCTCATTATAACATA